TCAGAAAAATATATGGACGGACGAACTGACATGCATAAATCGACTCAGAAAGTGATTCTATAAAGATCCTCAAAAGTGACTATGGCTTTGTCTCGCTTTCTTCTCCATGTTACAAATAAATGCACAAAGACATAATACCTTCACCACTTTGTGGTGTAGGGTAGAAAAATGACCAAAAATTTAAAATATTCTCCCAATCCCAAAAATGGCCAAAACAAAAAAGTAGTCTTCCAAATCTTCCATTCCTTTAGGCCCTTCTTCGCACTCGTTTTTTTTTTGGCAAATGATGATCTCATTGCAAAACCAGAAACCCGTTTCACATATCCTTGACTTTGAAAGTCACCTTAACAATAACTTCACACAAAAAAACATGTCAAAACCTGTCCCAAATTGCACTTCCTGTCACAACATATTTTGCTCTCAGACCCTTGATCCTTTTTAAAATTCCAAAAAAAAGAGATATGGAGGTCAGATGCATTGAATTGAAAACGAAAACAAAAATTGCTTCACAAAAAACAAAAGCGAAAATGTAAACAATGACTAATTTTGGCAATGAAATTTTAAATAAATTTTGTTGTTGCTGTTGTTGTTATTGTTGCTGTCATTCCGTCTCGTTACGGATTTGTTTCGCAAAACAAGTTGGATTCCTTGAAAGCAACAAAAAAAAAAACGAAATGTGTGAAACACAAAACAGACATATCCGATTGGCTGGGGGGGGGGGGGGGTAGGAGATACAATCATCATTTGTGATCTCGGGCAAAAGCAGATGGGTGTGGCCACCTTTTTTCTACCAAAAATCAATTTGGAAAAAAAGCGACCAAAAAGTGTAGGCAAAGTTCTGTGGATATTTTCTTAGGAAAAGAAAAAATATACCCCTTGGTCCGTCGTTCTTTTTCTTTAGAAAAAAATTTATAGCCATAAAAGAGTGGTGAAATAATTGGCTGACGGAGAATCAACGTCCAGACGAAACGGCGGAAGCTGGCATCTTGAAATTTTGGAGGAGGGTCAATATCGGTGGGTGGGGGTGATATTAGGCTAGGATTTTTGAAATTCGGACTATAAGTTTACTAAAAACACAAAATGTTGTACCTTTTGGTATTTGGTGAACGGATACAGTAGGTGTTTTTGGTACAAAATGTAACAACTGTACTAAATAGTACTAAATTCGATACAATTCTGGTTTTGGTTGAAAAGATTGATCTGGAAATTAAAAATGTTGGTATTGGGGTCTCTGCAGGTGGGTAGGGTTAAGATAACGAGTTGAGTTTGGAAATGCGTTCAGCAAGCGTACGGAAAATGGTACTAAATTTGGTATTAAATGAACGGATACTGCTTAGAATCCGAAATTTATCATTAGGATCACTGCTACAGTGTAGAGTTCAGATTTGGAGGTGGTCTCGTAAAATACGTACTCAAAAGTACTAATTAGTACTAAATTTGGTGTTGCGTGAATGGATATTGCCTGAAATCTCAAATTTAGCTTCAGAATCACTGTCAGAGTGTAGAGTTGATATTTGATGGTGGTTTTTAGAAATACGTACTAAAAAGTACTAAATGGTACTAATTTTGGTATTTGGATTTTTTAAATTGTGTTGGAAGTCTAAAATTAGCATTAGGAACGCATACTGCTGGACAACTGAAATTTGGCATTGGGATCACGGTCAGAGTGAAGATTTGAGATTTTGTGGTGGTTTTAGAAATACGTACTAAAAAGTACTAAATGGTACTAAATTTTGTATTTGGTTAAGGTTAAGTTTCAAATTTGGCATTAAAACCACCTTTTGTGCGGTTTGGTTGCTACACGGCGAGGAATTTGGAAATACGTACTAAAACGTACAAAAAGTACTGAATAGGATTAACGTTAGTATTTGAGGAAGAAAATTGGGGTGAGAGTCTGTGATGTTGTGTAGGAGAGACATACTAAAGGAGTTTTCGAAATTCTAACAATATGTGTATTAAAAAGTACCAAAATGGAGGTGTATACTAAGTTCAGCAAGAGTACGAAAGGTACTAAATGGTACAAAATTTTGTTATTGCATAAACGGATACTGTTTAAAATCTGAAATTTGTCATTAGGAACACTGCAACAGTATAGAGTTCAGATTTGTAGGTGGTTTTGTAAAATACGTACTTAAAAGTACTAATTAGTACTAAATTTGGTATTTGAGTAAGGGATTAAGTACTAAATTTGATGTTGCGTGAATGGATATTGCCTGAAATCTGAAATTTAGCTTCAGGATCACTGTCAGAGTGTAGATTTGATATTTGGTGGTGGTTTTTAGAAATACATACTAAAAAGTACTAAATGGTACTAATTTTGGTATTTGGATTTTTATGAAATTGTGTTGGAAGTCTAAAATTAGCATTAGGGAGGGATACTGCTTGAAAACAGAAATTTGGCATTGGGATCACGGTCAGAGTGAAGATTTGAGATTTGGTTGTGGTTTTGGAGATACGTACTAAAAAGTACCAAATTTGGTATTTGGATTTTGTAATTGAATTGGAAGTTTTAAATCAAGTATTAGTTACACCTTTTGTGCGGTTTGGTTGAAACATGGCGGGGGATTTGGGAATACGTACTAAAAAGTACGAAAAGTACTGAATAGTATTAACTTTGGTATTTGGAGAAGGAATAATGATGGATATCTGAAATTTGGGGTGGGAGTTTTTGATGTTGTGTAGAATAGACAAACTAAAGGGGTTTTTTGAAATTTCAACAATACGCGTACCAAAAGTACTAAAACTCACTAATTTGGTACCATTTGGAGTTACGTTAACGGATAGAGGTAAAATCTTGAAACTTGGTATGAGAATGAATTCTTGGAAATGGGATGGATGTAAGAAGGTGGTTTTGGAAATGAGTACTAAGTGTAAGAAATGTACTAAATCGTACTTCATTTGGTACAATTCCCTTTTGGTTCAACGGAAGAAGCTGGCTATTTGAAATGTTGGTATTGGGCTCCCTGTCGGTGGTAGTTTTGTGATAAAGAAGTGGTTTTGGCAATGTGTACTACATGTCACGAAAAGTACTAAATAGTACTATATTTGGTACGATTTGGTATTGGCTGAACAGATAGTGCTTGAAATGTGATATTTAATATTTGGGTCGCTGTTCATGTGTAGCTTGGACATATGGATTTGGTTGCGAAAATGTGTACTATAATTGTACGAAAAGTACTAATAGGTGCTATAATGGGTATTGGGAGAAGGGATGGAGATAAAATTCTGAAATTTGATATTTAGGTATCTGTGTTTCAGATTTGGCAGTGGTTTGGAAATGCACCCTATATTTGTACGAAAAGTAAAGGGATAGGGTTGAAAACCTCAAATTTGATATTGAGATCTCTGTTGGTACCTGAAACTGAGATATGAAGATCGTTTCGAAAATGTGTACTGTAATTGTACGAAAAGTACTAAATTTGGTATTGGGTGAAGGAATATAACTAAAATCCTGATATTTGATATATATGTCACTGTTTATGTCTGTGCTTAAGCTATGGAGGTGGTTCTGGAAATGTGTACTATAATTGTTCGAAAATTATTAAGTGGTACTAAATTTGATATTGCGTCAAGGGATTCATCTGGAATCTTGAAATTTGATATTGATGTCTCTGTTGATATCTGGTACCATGTTTGGTTTTCTAAGCTGGGAAAATTCTGAAATTTGATATTTAGATTAAGTATGTTTGAGATTTCTCTTAAAATGCGTCCTATATTTGTACAAAAAGTACTAAATAGTAATCAATTTGGTATTCGATGAAGGGATAGGGCTGAATTCCTCAAATTTGATATTGAGATCTCTGTCGGAACCTGAAATTGAGATATGGGAGTGATTCTGGATATAAGTATGATAATTGTTCAAAATGTACTAAATAGTACTAAATTGGGGATTTGGTGACGGAATAGACCTGGCATACCGAAATTTGATATTCAGGTCTCTCTTGGTATCTTCTGTTAAGATATGGTCTTGGTTTTACAAATGCGTACTATATTTGTTCGAAAAGTACTAAGTGGTACTAAATTGGGTATTGTGTAAAGGAATAGACCTAATATCCTGAAATTCGATATAGATGTCAATGTTGGTGACTGTAGCTAGGATTTGGGAAGGGATGGATCATCCCGAAATTTGATATTGAGGTCTCTGTTGGCATCTGCTGTTAAGATATGGTGTTGATTACAAATTCGTACTATACATATTTGAAAAGTACTAAATTGTACTATTTTTTATAAATAAATTTGAAAATAAAATTTTATTATTGGGTGAAGGGATAAATTTGAAATTATGAAATTTGATATTGAGGTCACTATTGGTTGGTGAGGTCACATGTCTCCACATGTAAAACCAAGAAACCAACAGAGATTTCGATATCAAATTTCAGAATTTCGGTTCTATCCAACCTATTTTTTGGAAAAAATTAAAACCGGTTTGAGGCGAATTTTTTCTTTGGAAAAAATGTAGTCCAAATGGTCTGCAAATTTTTTCTATAGAAAAAACTTGTCAACTGAGTTTCGTCGATTTTTTTATAGAAAAAAATTGGAACTGAGGTTCAATTTTTTTTTTTCTATAAAAAAAAGGACCGACGAAATTATTTTTATGGACATTTTTTTAAATCAAAATCACATGAAAATAATTCGAAATTAAAATTTAACCGAATTTCCGACCAAAAATTGCTTGGTTGTCCGTCAACACTGATACGCAAAATACATGTTTACACACATATTGAATATGAATGCCTGAATAGCGCCTCTCGCTGGCTGACCGTTTAGCTGGCCTTATGGCCAGTCTGTCCGAGCCAGCCTGTTGGCCTGTTTATGGAAATTCATGTATATGTGAACAAGTAATGTTGTTTAAATGACTTCATTTCTTCTTTTCGAAATTTCACAAAAAATGTATTTAAAAATATTTTTATTGGTAATTGTTTGCATTTTTTTGTTATTTTGTTAATAACATATGGTGGCTGTTTTTTAATGTTTGCCTTTTTCTCTTCCAAAATTTATAGGAACCACGCATTCTTTGAAATAAATTTAAATAATGCAGTACAGCAGCAGCCGTTCGGAAAATTATTCCTCATCGTTGAGAGATTCACCACCAAAATGGACCAGTGGCAAGGTAAGTTGAAGATGTGGACACATATGTTGAGAAAATAGGTTGGGTAGTTAGAAGGGGGAGTGATAATTTTCATTTCAGAAGGGGGAGTGACAATTTGCATTAATTCAAACACTGAAATGGGAATTTGCACGAAATAAAGTTATTTTATAAGAGAGAGGGAGAGAGAGAGATAAATACAGAGAGAGAGAGAGAGAGAGAGAGAAATTGAATGGCATTTCCTCATTTATTATACCCTCCACCATAGTATGGAGGGTATATTAAAATTGTCTTTCCGTGTGTAACACCTCGAAATATACATTTTAGACCCCACAAAGTATATATATTCTTGATCAGCATAAAATTCTATGTCGATTGAGCGATGTCCGTCTGTGGAAATCACTCTAGATTCCGAACGAAATAAAGTAGATTGATAAAATTTTACTCAAATGTATGTTATGTCTGCGGGACTTTTGGTATTGAACATGGGCCATGTAGGTCCACGTTTTGGTGTAGCCCCCATGTAACGGTACCTCCGCATATTCGGTATTTTGATGATTTTAGCGACATTATTCACCGGAATTGTTTCAAATTTGGTATTTGAAGTTCGTAATGGGTACTACAGTCTATGACAAAAAAAATATCTGTGCAGGTCCACGTCTTCGTATAGCCCCCATAAAACGGTACCTCCCGATATTCGGTATTTTGATGTTTTTAGCGACGTTATTCACCGGAATTGTTTTAAATTTTGTATTTGAAGTTCGAAATGGATACTACAGCCTAAGACAGAAAATTGTCTATGCAGCTCCACGTCTTCGTATGGCCCCCATATAATGGTACCTCCCGATATTCGGTATTTTGATGATTTTGGCGATATTATTCACCGGAATTATTTCAAATTTGGTATTTGAAGTTCGCAACTGATGCTACAGCCTAAGACAGAAAATTGTCTGTGCAGGTCTTCGTCTACGTATGGCCCCCATATAACGGTACCTCCCGATATTCGGTATTTTGACGCTTTTAGCGACATTGTTCACCGGAATTGTTTCAAATTTGGTATTTGAAGTTCGTAATTGATGCTACAGCCTAAGACAGAAAGTTGTCTGTGCAGGTCCACGTCTTCGTATAATCCCCATATAACGGCACCTCCCGATATTCGGTACTGTGTTAATTATAGCGACATTATTCACCGGAATTGTTTCAAATTTGGTATTTGAAGTTCGTAATGCACGCGACAGCCTAAGACAGAAAATTGTCTGTACAGGTCTACGCCTTCGTGTAGCCCCCATATAACGGTACCTCCCGATATTCGGTATTTTGACGAGTTTGGCTACATTATTCACCGGAATTGTTTCAAATTTTGGTATTTGAAGTTCGTAATGCACGCGACAGCTTAAGACAGAAAATTTTCTGTACAGGTCCACGTCTTCGTATAATCCCCATATAACGGTACCTCCCGATATTCGGTATATTGACGAGTTTGGCTACATTATTCACCGGAATTATTTCAAATTTAGTATTTGAAGTTCGTAATGGATGCTACAAATTATGGCAGGAAATTGTCTGTGCAGGTCTCCGTCTTCGTATAGCCCCCATATAACGGCACGTCCCGATATTCGGTATTTTGTTGATTTTAGCGACATTATTCACCGATTTTTTTTTAAGTTTCGCATTTGAATATTGTAATGGCTTATGACAAAAGTTATCTATGCAGGACCATGTCGTCGTATAGACCCTAATATAACAGCTGCATTCCGAATTTTTAACATTTTAGCAGAATTTTTAAGGGGATTTTAATATTTTTGAGAATTGCCAATTTTCTTCCAAATGGTGGAGGGTATTCAAAGTTCGGCCCGGCCGAATTTATAGCTTTTTTACATGTTTCTATTCTCATCTTCGAATGTTATTTTATTTAAAGGATTATAATCATCGCTTAACCCCCTTTTTGTTCTCAAACCCGATTTCTGAAAGAAAAATCCTTTATTGATTTTGTTGTTGTTGTTTTTTTTTTTTCTGTCCTCCTCAGGATCATAAGACGGGATATTCTTATAAAACCTCTGCAGCATATCAGTATTCCAATGCAGGCTCTGGCAGTGGCTCTTATCAGGATAAGCCAGTTGATAAAAACATCGATCAATTAGATGCTCTATTGGAAGATTTGAAAAATGAACGGGAAATAACCAGAGATAGAGGTAAGTGGGCCTCTTGATTTTATTTCAAAAAATTGTAAAACATTTTCCTTTTTTCAGATCATTCTATGAACTATAGGACCATGTAAGTTTTCCATTTTTTCCAAAAATTTTTAAAATTCTAATTCTATTTTCTCTTTTGTTGTAGTGAACGTTCCGCCAATGAGGATCCATTGACGGGCACGATTACCAAGACCACCAAAGTTATTAAGACAAGCAAAAATGTAAGCGGTGGCTTGGATGACGCCGACTTGTATCCAACATCGGACTACAGTACCCTGAGATCGAATGGTACATTGGTGCGCAATGACTATCAGACTTTGGAAAAGCCCTATGTACCAAGTAAGTAGATTTCCCGGGTTCCTATTCATACATAAAAAGTTTGTCGGAAACCCCTTGAGCTATCAGGAAACCTGGCCGAAGCCAAGAATTCATTTTCCTCCTTCAACTCCCTTCTTCCAAATAAAACCACATTTCCTTTTGTCCAAACTTGTCACGTGTGAATAGGGACTTCTCACAAAAACAGAAATAATATTTCTTTCTAACCTCTCTGTTCCCTCCCTAGGCAATCTCTCTCCCGGCGGTGGTTTCTATGAGACCAAACATCAAACGAAAGTCTATGAAAGCAATCGTTCTCTGAACAAACCCGAATTTGTGCCAGCTGCCAACTCGACAGCCGTCTCGGCCACCACAACCACCAATGCCACCCTCTTGCAGGAGGACTTGAAAAATCTCACCGTCAGCGAAGATATACTCCCAGTGCCCGGCACCAAGGTCACAACCACAGTACGCACCTACACCTATGAGATACCGGCCAATGCTCCGCTACCTACCTCGAATACGTTGAGTCGTAAAATCCAATACAACACCGTGCAAACGAATGAAACCAACAATGTGGTCCAGCCACATCCAGTTCATGCCATACCCCAAACTGTTGTCTATAACACAGAAAGCTATTCCACCCTGAACAAGGACAACAAGCCCGTGGTGTCGAATGTCAACTATGAAGTAAGGGAACACTATGAAACGAACACGTTGAGGAACAACACTTTACCTCTGCAACCGCGAAATCAACATCCTCAATCGCCAGCTCTGCCATCGCCATCACATCCCGGAGAGCCTGTTGGCAGCAATACCATTGTTTATAATATTCACAATACCACAACAACAACGAACACCGAAAGGCCTGGCTATCCACCACACAGTCCCGGCAATCAAGGGCCACGTAGCCCAGGCCATGGACCACCACATCATCCCCAACCTCATGGTCCTGGACCACATGGACCCACAACACATCACTATATTTACAAGGAATCTACGAACACGGTTAATACCATACACGGCGGTCCACCACCACATGAGCCCAATCATCACAGCCCCAATAAACCTCTGGGTGGTTATCCACCTAATGGCAATGTGGGTTATCCACCACATAATGGTGGCCCCAACTATCCGCCGGCCAATGGTCATCCACCAAATACTAACATCACTTACAACTATTCGTCGACGACCACAAATACCACACGAGGTGGTCCCAACTATGGTTCGCCAACGACAACAGTACCCTTCCCCGTTGATGGGGTGGTTGAGTATCCTGTGAAAAATGGTAATCCCCCTCAACGGGTTGAGGAGCTGATGCAGTCACTGGGAAATGTAAGTTGAAATTGGAGGGGAAAAATCAGAAAATTATGGGACTAAAAAATTTCGAGAAAAGAAGGATGGAAGGGTGTAATGTTAGAAGGGATCGAAATGTAAATCAAAGCTATTAAAAGTAAATAGAACGGGTATTGGGGGAAGGCTGTTCCAAGACTTTAATTTCATAGGTTCTGTTCCAGAAATCATTTATTTATTCCAGAAATCTACTAGTTTTGTTTTTTTTTTCGATTTTATTAAGGAAAAATCGGTTATTGTAGTAAAAACGTTTACATTCTTGCAGTTCTGAAGCAGAGCAATGGATTTATTTTTCCCAAGGACTTGTAGGTCCTAAAAAGATTTTTTATATCCCCAGCCATATGGCTAGAAAGAGTATATATCATTTGATAGGCAAAAACGTGGCTCATCGAAATAACGAGTTTAGACCCTAGCTCTCTTTGAACCATATCCGTTTCAGGATATTTGAAGTCGATGCACAATAACTCTCGAATGGAGTAACAGATTTAATCCAAACTTGGTACATAGTAATTTTATTGTCAAACTTAGATCGAGTTCGGAGATGGGCAATATCGCTCCACTCATTCTGGTACCTCCCACACAAAAAGTAAACATTTTCAATGAAAATAATTTTCTGCACAGAAAGAGAAAGGATGATCCGATTTTGCTCTAACTTTGCAAATCCCTATAATTGCATCAGTGCTAGGTCAGGTGCGAAAATGAACAATATCGGCCCACTCCATCAAGTACCTCGCACACAAAGGGTCAAAATTTTGAATAATTATAACTCTTATAAAATGTGATGTACGAGTCCGATTGCCTTCAAATTACACACATCACAGTATTTTTATTAACCCAAGGTCTGGTGTGAAGATGGAATATGTCGGTGCACTCCTTCGGGTACCTCCCCCACAAAGGGTCAACATTTTGAATATTCATGAAGCTCATAAAACACGAAATTAACATCCGATTCCATTCAGACTTGGCCCATCTCAATATTTCCATCAACACAAGATCTGTTATAAAGATGGTAGAGATCGGACCATTCCTTCTGGTACCTCTCCCACAAAGGGTCAAAGTTTTGAATAACCAAAACGATCATAAAATTCGAAATAAGCATCCGGTTCTCTTCAAACTACACACATCACAATCTTTTTATTAACCCAAGGTCTGGTGTTAAAATGGGATATATCGGTCCCCTCCTTCCGGTACATCCCCCACAAAGGGTCAAAATTTTGTGTATCCATAAAACACGAAATTGACATTCGATTTCATTCAGACTTGGTACATCTCAATATATCCACCAGCACAAGATGTTTTGAAAATATGGAAGAGATCGGACCATTTCTTCTGGTACCTCACCTACTTCGGATTCAAGATTTTTTAAAAACAAAACGCTCAAAGAAAGCGAAATAAGCATCCAACTCTCTTCCAATTTCACACATCCAAATATTTTTGCTAACGCAAGATCTGTTGTGAAGTTAATATATCTGTCATAACTTGCAAAACAAGTCAGCGATTCTTTACAACTAAATATTTCCAGAAACCTGAAGTGAATATGGAATTTATGATTTCGCATAAAATTGGATATAAATGTTCGATTTTCTTGTAATCTTGCCTTCTATCTGTATTAGATGAAGTATCAAAATAGAATACCTAGGTCGACTATATCTGTTAACTTACGCATATATCCACATTTTTCAAAAATTTGCACATATCTCTTATAAAGTATAGGAAGTAGTCGATATAGTCCAAATCTGGCACGTTGTTATATTTTTATCAGTCTTGGGTCAGATACGAATTGGCCAATACTACCCAACTGCTTCGGAACACCACCCCTCCCCCTCATAGAAATGGTTAACAGTTTGAATAATCATTACTCAAGTCTGGGGGTATAAATCTGTCGGCAAAAACCGACTTATACTACAGGGTGAGATAAAAAAAACTGCAACAAAGTCAAACGCCATGATTTTTACATTTTTTTTTAAATTTTTTTGAACTAAAGCAAAAAATGTCGGAAATAGCATCAAATTTTAGAATATGGTTAGATTTGTTCGAATTGGTCACCTTTAGCACGAATTATGAGCTTCAAACGGTCAATGAAACGCTGCCCGAAAGTTGTTCAGCGATATTTTGGCCCATGGGATTGAAATATTAATAATTCAGCTTTATTTAATTTGTTCCTTTTATTTTCTTCCCCCCCCCCCCCCCCCCCCCAGACCGATGCCACTGATAGACCCGATTTGAATACACCACGCAAGCGGGAAATTGAAACTGCCGTGGCCACGCCCAATCAACAGCAAATACCCTCGGTGAATAGAGCCGGACGGGATATTTACTATCCACCAGGTCATGAAATGATGCTGACCAAACGCTCTGAAATGCATGCTTCAGGATCACAAGCTGGCGTAAGTTGAAATAATTTGAAATTATTGTTTTTTCTTTTAATGTTTTATTTCTTTTGCTTTTTTCCAGGGTCGTTGGGCCAAGGGTTCCGGCATGTATGAATACGAATCTGGTTCTAGATCTAAGACCACTACCAAATCTGGCGGTGCCATGGTTCCCGTCTGCTTGCCCCTATGCTGTGCTATGCCTTGCTCAATAATGTAATTTTTATTTTTTACGTTTTTTTTACAATTCGCAACGAGGAATGTGCTCTCAACGAAATCGTTAAGACTTGTGTTCTTCGTTTGATTTTTTTTTTTTTTTTTTTGAGAATTTTCATTTTTCAAATAAGACAAGCTTTTGGTTGAATCGTCTTTTTCTGGCCAAAAAGAAACTTGTCTGTGATTTTTTTATTTATGTAAATAATATTAATTGTTATGCCTGCTCCAGATTTTTTTTTTCTAAATGCTACAAAACAAAAACCATGTATTTGAATAATATTTAATAATAATATTTTGATTATGTTTTTTTTTAGTCTTTATTAACCCTTGATATTTTTTTCTGTTGATGTGTAAAACGAAAATGCATATAAAATAATATTTAAGAAAAAAAAACTCTGTTAGATATAAAGGCACACGGGAAGGTCTTTTGCAAAACCCCAATGGAAGTGGCAAAAAAGAGGGTCTGTTTCTGTGTGGTGATAGGAAAGTGAAAGCGAAAGAAAAAAAAATAAATAAAATAAATAATTTTTTCACATTTTTTAGTTAAGTTCAAAAATTGGAGAATTATTTTTATGGTGTTTTACTTTCACATTCCCCATACAAAAACGGGCTATGGAAATAGGTTTTTAAAAAAAAAAATATTTCCCTCAAAATTTGAAGAAATGTAGGGAACCTGAACCAAATCTTTTTCCATAGAGATACAGAGCCCAAAGGGATTATAAATTGAAATTGGGCTCCATAATTGATCCTTCAATAATATCTATTTTGTACACTTTCCTTGGTGCCTCTATGTAATCCCAAAAATATTTGCTCAAAATGAAAGAAACTTTGCTACAATGAAAAATTTATAACTAACATTAACAGTCTGTTTCTAGGCTTTTCATAAAGAAACGAATTCGAGTGTTGTACTACCATACACCTGATTTTTAAAATAAAAATTTAAATATTTTTTAAAAATGTTTGATTTTGAATCGATCAAATTACATTTAAAAATAAAACACTTGAATTCGCTTTAACAATTTTATGGAAACAGGCCATCAACAATTTTGTTTTTGAAAAATAAAATAGTTTATAATAAATATTTTTTGATATGTATGTAACAAAAATTGTCGAACCCAAGTCTAGATTTTAAAAACCAAAATAATAAACTAAACCACAACGTGAACAGAAAACCAATTGTGTATCAAACGAAGTTAAATTTCTTTTTATTTTTGTCTAAGATTTTTTTTTATTTTGCTGTATCGAATATTAAATATAAGTTTATATTAAAAAAAAAAACAATAATCTATAATTAATAAAACAACAATTAAACAAACCTAATTACCAGTGAATTAATATTTAATAAATGTAACACATTTAAAAAGTAAAAGAAATTAAAAATGTAATAAAAAAATGCAACAATAAACATTTTTGTGACGCTATAAGCGTTTCTAACAAAGCGAAATATTGGCATTTATTTTTGAACTAATAAAGTGGAGGGTAAGATAAATAAATCTGCAACAAAGTAAAAAGCCATAATTTTTACATTTTTTTTCTTAAATTTTATTGAATGAAAGCAAAAAAAAAATCGGAAATAGCATCAAATTTTAGAATAAATTTCGATTTGTTCGAATTGGTCACCTTTGGCCCGAATGTTGCTCTGCGGTATTTTGGCCCATTCCCGGCGAGGTGCTTGCTTGAGGTGATCGACACTTTGGTATTTTTAGTACCAATCTTCCTTTCCAAAATACTCCAGACACAATAGTCCAACGGATTGGTATCCGGAGATTTTTGGTGGCCATTGTACGCTGGAAATGAAGCGAGGAACCTCATTTTGTAACCATTCTTGGGTGGCGCGTGCTGAGTCCTGTTGGTATGTCCAAGGTCTGCGGCCAAAATGTTTGCGTGCCGAAGGCTTTAACACACCCTCCAGAATATTTTCGCCGATAATTTTCGGCATTTATTCTGAGGCGGATTAATATGAGCAGAGAGCGACCATTGGCTGTTATGGCGGCCCACACCATCACCGTGGCGGGCGCTTGAGTTCTGTTGGCCAACCGAAGGTGCACATTTTCAGCTGACCTCTGTGGCAAGTAAACACGATCATTTTGTTTGTTTACACGCTGCTGGACAACGATTCCAGATTCGGCAGTTCACTACTTTCGGCCAAGCGAATCAACTCTTTAGCTCTTTTGAGTCTATTTTCTTTCTGTTGCGGTGTAAGTTTTTGCACTTTTTGGAATTTCAATGGCGGGGGATATATCGGTCCACTCCTGCTGGTACCTCCCCCCACAAAATGGTCAACATTTTGAATATCCATGATGCTCATACAAAACGAAAATTACATCCGATTCCATCCAGACATGGCACATCTCAATATTTCCATCAGCACAAGATCTGTCATAAAAATGGTAGAGATCGGACCATTGCCTATAGTACCTCCCTCATAAAGGGTCGACATTTTGAATAACCAAAACGATTACAAAATCCAAAATAAGCATCCGGATCTCTTCAAATAACACGCATCAAAATACTTTTATTAAAATGGGATATATCGATCCACTCCTTCTGGTACCTCCGCCCACAAACGCTAAAAAATTTTGAATATCCATGAAGTTCATAATAAGCGAAATCAACATCCGATTCCCATCCATACATGGTACATCTCAATATTTCCATCAACACAAGATCTGTTATAAAGATGGTAGAGATCGGATCATTTCTTTTGCTACCTACTCCACATAGAGTTCAAGATTTTGGAAAAATTTCACACATACAAACATTTTTGCTAACACAAAATCTGTTTTGATTATTTACAACTTTCTATATCTAAATATATGTATCTCAAACAGAATTCTGAGATGAATATGAAATTTATGATTTCCCATAAATTGGATATAAATGTTTGACTTTCTTATATATTTATAATAATATTTATATATTATTTATTTAGGTACGATACGAAATGGACAATACTGGCCAATTCTTTCAAAATCCACTCCATGGAGCGTCAAGAATTTGAAAAGCCGTAAGAGAAGTCAAAATATTTTAAAACAATCGAACATTGGCTGAGGGTATACATCTGTGGGCAAAACCGACCGATACTTTTTACTTTTTTTTTTTTTTTTTTAATTCGACCTTTTGTGTGAAATAATATATAAAAACGCCGATTCTCAATATTTAAGGAGTTATGGCCATTTTAAAGTTTTCGATAATTAATGCTTAAAAAAGTGATCACAAATAATAGCTAAAAACGCCGAAAATTCAATATTTAAGGAGTTATGGCCATTTTTAAGTTTTCGACAATTCATGCTTGAAAAATAATAGCTAAAAACGCCGAAAACTCAATACTTAAGGAGTTATGGCCATATTTAAGTTTTCGAGAATTCATGCTTGATAAAGTGATCACAAATAATTGCTAAAAACGCCGAAAACTCAATATTTAAGAAGTTATGGCCATTTTTAGGTTTTCGAGAATTCATGCTTGAAAAAGTGATCACAAATAATAGCTAAAAACGCCGAAAACTCAATATTTAAGGAGTTATGGCAATTTTAATAGCTCTAAACTCGATCTAACTTTGATAATAATATTACGATGTACCAAGTTTGGACCTATCGTACACTCCCTTCGAGGGTTGTCATGCGCACCAGCCAGACGGGCGGACGAACATCGCTAGATTTGCTTATGATTAATCCCCATTTTTTTTTTTTCAATTTTATTGAGATTTTTTATTTTTCAGTTTCGAAATATATAATTTATGGAAGTCTGCTTTTGGATTTTTTTTTTTCAGAAAATCCTTGTTAATTTTTTATATTGAAAGCTATTGTGTACTTCCTCCATGTTTCTTTTATGGTGTCGGGGTAAATTTAAAACCATTTTTTCATTTCTAAAAATTTGAAATAAAATAAAAGGCACCTAGGCCAAACATTTACGATTTCCTTACGAATTACCTTTTTTATTTTATATTTTATTTTTTTGGAGATTGTTATATTTCTCAGTTTCGCAGGATATAATTTATCGAAGTCTGCTTTGGGAATTTTCTCAGAAAATCCTTGTTATTTTTTTCATATTGAAATCTAGTGTTACCAGGGAGGAACTGTTTCTCGTTCTTCACAAATTCACACTTTTAAACCACCTTTTCATTTCATAAAAAAAAAATAAAATAAATTATCATTTTATAAATTCATTTTCAATTTTGTAGATTTATTGAAAAAAAGAAAAATTCTTTTAAATGTATGTACATTTTGTTTTTTTTTAATATTTTGTTTTAAATATATATATGTATAGTATATTGATGAAATTTCCTAATAAAGTTCGAGTTTCAAATATAATTTTGTTCGTTATTAATTTACAAATAGTTCCATATACGAATGTGGTATATAATAATAATAATAATTTAAGAGATTTTATGTTTCCATATTATCGTTTTTGTTTTGTTCTTTGTTTTTGTAGTTCTCTAACAATAATATTTGTATCACAAACAATTTTAAGTATATTTCCAATTGATTTATGTTCTCTAATATATGTATGTATGTTTTTATATAATATAATATATATATATTTAGTTTCCAATTTTGTTTTATTTGTTTCATTTTCATTAGTTAAAGCAATATTTCTTCTGGTTGTTCTTGTGTCGTGTGTTGTATATAAAAAAGTGTATTTATGTCTTGTGTACGTGTTACCGATGATCTTTTTTTTTATTTTTACAAATTTCCATTATTATACAATTCAGTTTTTTCTTATTTTTCATTTTCATGTATATAATAAAATTTTAAAATATTTTGTTAAAATATATTGCAGCAAGGTAGACCGAGAGATACGTAATGAATTAAAATTAGTTTTGTGTTTGTAATGTTTAAAATAAATAAATCCTACTACCAATAATCCCAATGGCACCGCATCATATGTTGCGGCCTTGTTCTTGGGGTCAGGAACAAAGTTTACATTTCATAATGTTTGAGTTAAAGTTATAAAAAATCATTAACACAACAATTCAAAATTTATTTAAAAACGAAAATATTATTACAACTGGAAGTTATTTTTCCCTAATTAAAATCAATTGAGATTCATTATTTTTACTTCTTATTATCTTAAATTCTAGAAAACGAAAATATTTCAACACTGAGGCAAAAGTAATGGTAAGTAATGGAACGGTTTAAACAGAGGTATTTGTGAAGAAGGTATAGCTGTTTAAAATATCATTGGTTGAAGGGCCAAAATCTTAATAATAAAAAAATAAAAACAAAGGAATGTCAGTTTTATAAAAAATAATAAAATTATTTTAAGGGAATTTGTTATTTTTCGGCGATAAAAATATTATTAAATTGTTGTAAGTTTATAAACACACACAAATACTCTTGGAGTCTAATGGTCTTCGTTTGTCTGAATATTCACATTTTTTAAATTGAGATTTCTAAATAAAGCATATCCAATATAATTCGTAAGCTAAAAATGGCCTCTACCAACAAAAACATAAAATATATTTCAAGTTAGAATGAAAAATGTAACCTCACTTATTTTCTGGATCTACAGGGTGAGATGAAAAACTGCAGGGTGAGACTGGAAAACTGTCATTTCTAAGCCACTCGTCCGACAGCTTTTACAATTATTCCAGTGACAGCTCATTATATTGTTTACAATCGTACAAAAGCATTTTGGTGAACATTTTCCAGAAAAAATGGGTATTCGTGATGGAATTCAAGCGTGATAGTGTGTTTTTTTATATTTGGCTGGAAAACCACAAGTGGCTATTGTCGGAGCACTCCAGCATTTAAATGTGAATAAATCGTTTGTGTCTCGTACCATTGCTCGTTACCGTGATACTGATAGCGTAGCCCGACGTCAAGGAAGTGGACGGAAGAAAACAGCAACATCAGCAGAAATGGTTTCGAACCAGTAAAGAAGCGACTTGATCGAAACCCGCGTCACAGTGGCCGAAAAATGGCTCGTGAGCTGAACATATCGCAATATTCCATTCGGCAAATATTGAACAAATAAGCTCGGGGTAAAGCCATTAAAATTCCAAAAAGTGCAAGAACTTACACCGCAACAGAAAGAAAATAGACTTAAAAGAGCTAAAGAGAGTTGATTCGCTTGGCCGAAAGTGGTGAAATGCCGAATTGGGTTTTCTCCGATGAGAAAAAATTCGTTTGTAAACAAAGAAAATGATCCTGTCTACTTGCCAAAGAGGTCAGCTGAAAATGTGCACCTTCGGTTGGCCACCAGAATTCAAGCGCCGGCCATGTTGGTGGTGCGGGCCGCCATAACAGCCGATGGTCGCTCTCTCCGCTCGTATTGATCGACCGTGGCATCAGAATAGATGCCGAATATTATCGCAAAAATATTCTGGAGGGTGTATCAAAGCCTTGAGCACGCACACATTTTGGCCGCAGCCCATGGACATTCCAACAGGACTCAGCACGCGCCACCCAAGAATGATTACAAAATGAGTTTCCTCGCTTCATTTCCAGTGCACAATGGCCACCAAAATCTCCGGATATCAATCCGTTGGACCATTGTGTCTGGAGTATTTTGGAAAGTAAGGTTGGCACTAAAATATACCAAAGTGTCGATCACCTCAAGCAAGCGCTTCGCCGAGAATGGGCCAAAATACCGCATAGCAACATTCTGGCAGCGTTTGACGGTTTCATTGGCCGTTTGAAGGCCATAATTCATGCCAAAGGTGACCAATTCAAACAAATCTAAACTTATTCTAAAATTTGATTCTATTTCCGATAATTTTTGCTTTCATTCAATTAAATTTAAAAAAAAAATAAAAATTATGGCGTTTGACTTTGTTGCAGTATTTTTATCTCACCCTGTATTCATGATCAGCATAAAAGTAGATTTAACGATGTACGCCTGTCTGTCTTTTGAAATTACGATAAGAGTCTACATTATTCAACGTAGAGTTTCAAAATTTGGCACAACAATTTGTATTGTGTCTAGGATGGTTGTTATTGAAATTGAAATTATACCACGTTTTGGTATAACGCTACCTCCCGATATTCGGTATTTTTATGATTTTCGCCATATTTTCCCACGGATTTTTCTAAAAATTAGTATTTGTAGGTCATAATAGTTTCCAGCACCGGTGGCGAAACTTTGTATCCATAGGTCCACGTTTTTGTATAGTCCCCATATAACGGTACCTCCCGATATTTTGATGATTTTCACCAATTTTTCCATGGATTTGTCAAAAAATTCGTATTTGTTGTTCGGAATGAGTTCTAGCTCCGGTGGCGGAACATTAAATATTTAGGTCCATGTTTTTCTATAGCGCCCATACAACGGTATACACCGATATTCGGAATTTTGATAATCCTAGTCACAGTTACTAATGAAATTGTTTAAAATTTGGTATTTTATAAGGATTGGTAGATGACAATCCTTGAAGTATAAAATTGCCTATAGAGGTTCCCGTTTGGTTATGACTCCCATATAACGGCCTCACCCACTTTATGGGTTTTTGAAAAGTTTAACAGCATTATCAAAAGGGTTTTACTGGTGTTCGTAGTTTAAAGTGGAGCGCGTTTGAATGCAGATACTTTTATAAAAAAAAATTGTTTTCTTTACCCAAAGGTCGGCCCCGGCCGAACTTACTGTTTTTCACTTGTTTCTACGTGGAGTTGGCACCAGATCCATTATTCTTTAATCCTAGACTTCTGCAATTATGTTGTGGGCTATCGACAGGTTGAGAGTTTTGGTGGAAACTCGACCCTTACACCATTCAGTTTTTTTTTTTTTCAACATTATCTCCGGGATTTTGTAAGGCTCAGGCGCTTCGGAGGGTTTTGGATAATATTTGGACAACATTATCACCGGGATTCCGTAAAGCGTAGGCGCTTCGGAGGGTTTTGGATAATATTTGGACAATTAATTCCAGTTGTTTGGTACTAGCAAATGAAATATCCCTAATTTCAAATATGGACCATGGGCTCAATGACAAATCTGTTGTTGGCAATTGTTATGTACCAAATGGGAATCCCAAACTCATCTTTGTTGGGTTTTCAAATAAAAATTGTAAACGTTGAGCTTTTGTAGGTACCAAAAGAATTTGAGTGACTAAGTCCATTTTCGTTTTTGATACGGGGTTCAATAGAGACATTACTATGCGTGACATGGGAAACAGCCTTTGAATATTGTAGACATTTCTGTGATTAGTATAAACATGTTAATTAAATTCCGTAAAATAAATTGGAAGACCATAATAGGGACGGAAAACAAACTTACAAGACAAATCTAAATAAAGTTAGTATTAGTAAAATAAGTAAAAAACTATATATATACATACAAAATTTACAATAAAATATAACAAAAAATTTATAAAGTTTAAAAACAATCACAATTTTAAAGTACATAGGCTGAATTAAACACTAATTTGTTCCATTACTTTTCACCCCATGGCTACTGCTCTTTGAGATTCTTGGCTAAAATTAGATTTTGTAAAAACTTTTTTTTTAAATTACATTATTAATTAATTAATTATTGATTAATAAAATATCTTTGTTTCTAATATCAAATCCATAAAAAGGAAGCAACAAGTTGAGTTTTTTCCATATCAAATGGTTGGACGAAATTAAGCTATGGAAAGTAGAAATTGGAAGCAAGAATTTGTTTTCTAAACATATTCTATAAAATAAAACAAAAAACAATATTATTAAAAAGACTAATTTAACAAATTGAAATCTATACATTAAGAAAAATAAAAATAGAAACAATGACATAAGAACACGTTCTACATAATTTTGATTGCTAAATTTCTTTTCCTACTTATTGTGTCAATATTGTACCACTCCGAATTTGGTTTTTAATTATATTACTAAGTATGTAATGTCTGGCTGTCTGTCTGTCTGTATATATATATTATGTATATCACTAGTTTAAATAATTTTGTCTATTTTTTTTGTTATCCTTTTGTTTTGTTTGTTATGAGTTTTCCATTCTAAGTAAAGTAGATAAAAAGTTTGTATATGAAAGAGTAGAGAAGATAAAGAGAAGAAGAATAAGAAATGTTTTAAAGAACGTTATTTTGGGGGGTTAAGGAAAAAGAGAATGTTGTCTTTTGGTTTGTTAGTTTTGTTGTTAGTAATAGTAATAGCTGTTGTTGTAAATATGGTTTGGTTTTTTTTTTTGTTTTGTATAAATATATGTGAGTGTGTGTCTGTTAGATTGCTATTTTTTCTTTTTTTCTTTTAATAAAAACAAATTTAACTTTTTTGTTCGGAGATCTTTAGTTCAGCATAATACCAACTAAATGTCGGATACGATTTGTAACTGTAAATATCGTATTTAATTGAATTCAAGCCATCGTTACCAATTTTATTGATGCCATTTACCAAATTCTCATAGCGTTTGGGATTGGCTTTTTCTTTTTGATGTTTTAGCATGGTGTAGCGTGCAATATTGATGGGATAACGTGCTATAAAAAGATTAGCATTTCGTAGCCTGTAAAGAAATTGGAAAAGTAGATTGGCAGTAAGAAAAAAAGAGAAGAATAGAGGGGAAAAAGTAAATACATTATTTTTAATATACATAAAAAGAAAGAACCTTTAAAGAAGAGAAAAATATTGATCGAAAACGTATTTAATTAAATGGAAGACCTTCTACATGTATTCTACAGACTAGGAACCTTCAAAAGTTCTTCTATAAATAATATACCTTCTACAGTTTGTTTTTTAAAATTTATGTTCTTTTTTCCAAACCTCCAACCGATAAAGGATGACATAAAAGCAGAGAATTAATTTGTTTATATTTCGAAATTTATCTTCTGTGGGCAAAAATATTGTAATATTGGAGGTATGGAATCAATCAGTGACATATTTGGCACCAGGGTTAAAAAAGGAAAGCAATTTTCTAAAAAAAAAAATTTTTGAAAACAATTGTTAATTGATAAGGGATTCATGAGTTGCTTTTACATATTATCTGCAGATGATTGAAATGCAAGACCAGAAAAAAACATACTAAGACTCCTATACAGTTTTTTTATATAAAGAAAAAATTAGAAATAGGAGTTCCCTACAGTAAAATAAGGTAAGAATTAGAAAATGTGGACTCTAAGCAGCATAAAAAACAAATAAAATAGTATAAGTCGGTTTTGCCGACAGATTTATACCCCCAAACTTTGAGTTATGATTGTTCAAACTGTTGACCCTTTATGGAGGAGGTTCCGAAGCAGTTGGCCAGTATTGACCAATTCGAATCTTATTTAAGACCGATATAAATATTACAACGTGACAGATTTGGACTATATCGACTACTTCCTATACTTTATATGAAATATATGCACATTTTTGTAAAATATGAGTGAGGCAACAGATAAAGCGGACCGAAGTATTCCATTTTCATACTTCATCTAATATAGATAAAAATATTGTTATGTGAAACATTTTGTGGAAATAAAAAATTTATATCCAAATCATAAATTTCAATAAATTACATATTCATATTAGATTTTTGTTTAAGAGAAATATTTAGATATAGAAAGTTGTAAAGAATCGACGACTTGTTTCGCAAATTAAGGCAGATATAAATATTGGAAATTGTGCCCTTTGTGGGTGATGTACCAGAAGAGGTTGAAATATTGGGATGGGAAAACAAACGGAAGCTTGTTTCAGGTTTTATAACAATTTTGGTTATTCAAAACTTCGACCCTTTATGGGGGAGGTACCAGAAAGAATGGTCCGATCTCCACCATCTTTATTACAGATCTTGTGTTTATGGAAGTATTGAGATGTGCCAAGCCTGAATGGAATCGGAAGTTAATTTCGTGTTTTATTAACTTCATAAATATTCAAAATGTTGACCCTTTGTTGGGGAGGTACCAAAAGGAGTGGACCAATATATTCCATCTTCGCACCAGACCTTGGGTTAATAAAAATATTGTGATGTGTGTAGTTTGAATTTTATAACAGTTATAATTATTCAAAATTTTGAACCTTTGTGGGGGAGGTTCTTGATGGAGTGAAATGAAGTTGTCCATTTTCGCACCTGACCTAGCACTGATGCAAATATTAGGATTCACAAAGTTGGAGCAAAATCTGATTATATTTTCTCTTTCTGTGCAGGAAATTATTTTCTTGTTGACATTTTGTATGAGAGGTACCAGAAGGAGTGGACCGTTTCCGAACTCGATCTAATGAATAAGTCATAATGATTTAAAAGTATAAACCATGGATGGGATAGGAACATTATTTTAAGAAAAGTTCTTAAGAGATTTTTAAAATATTTCTTGAAAAATAAAGTTTACAGTCTTTTCATATTGAGGACCCATTACAAGACCCTTTTTTCTTTATAGAATATTTATGCGAGACTTCCTCGGCCAGAAAATTTCCCACAGTTTTTTCATAGATGAATGGATTTCTATATTCTTCAGGTCTACTTAAAATTTTGATTGTCAAAATATCCATGCAACATAAATGGTCTATTTTAAGATATTCATTTTTCGCCATTAGCGGTAAAGACGTAGCATACTTTTAGGCTTGCTTGTATTTTCAATAATATGCATTTTAAGAGTTGAGCTCAATCTTCAAAAACAGAAGGTTGCTAAAGCAAAAATACTTTTCCCCAATCCTAAACCAGCACTTGGTGATAAATTAACTATACTCTGAACACTGTGAAAGCTATTATCTGCAATTTTTTATAAATTCTAAAATGTGGGCGTTTTTGTTATCTTTTAATTTAAATAAATAAACACACACACACACACCTGTTTGACATATCATCGTCTTCACCACCCCAACCAAAATATGAATTCGAAAATCCATTGACGGTTAAAAAATGTTCACGGGTCATTGCGGAGACCCCACCAAATATTGTACGATAAGGCAACCTGCAAAACAACAAAACATCAAATTATTTATAATTAAATAAAATGCAATAATAACACAAACACACTTATAATTAAATTTATCTATGGCCACTGACATATGACGCGGCTGACGTGGACAATTATACAAATTACGATTATCCAATGGCAACAGATCAACATCATGGAATATAAAACAATCCCATTTGTATAATTTCATGGCCTCCAGAAAGCCAATATTCATAAGAGCGGCTCGGTTAAATGGCTTGCCGTTGGTTTGTTCGATAATGAAAATACGATACGCTATACGCTGTTGCATTAGAAATTTATGTATGTTACGGAGGAAAATCGATAGATGGGCATATCGATCACGAAAAGGCACCACAATTGCAACATGATGCCGGGCTATACAGTCTTTTGGTTTGAAAGCACCACCGGGTTCCAAAAGTGGACCCAACTGGTCATTGATAACATCCAGAGATTCTAAAGTTATGTTAGGTACAAAAGGACTACCTGCAAAGAGAAATAAAACAAAGCTTTTAGTGATTACATTTTCATAACAAAAATGATGGACCTACTTTCTTCAATAACGGGGTCTTGACAAAGAGGCAAAGGTTCCGTGGTTATGGTTTCCTTGCTACCATTGACTTGATTTAAGCTATTATTACTATGCAGCTCCAGTTGTGGTTGTTGTTGCAGATTGGAAGAATTTGCAAATGGTGAGACATTGGTAGTAGAGGCGGAATTTAATGCCAGGGAATTGTTGATATTATTGTTCGTGTTATTGTTACTGTGGCTGATGCTGCCGCTGCTGCTGGCATTGCCTGTAGAGCTAAGTACGGTTCCATTGTATCGATATACTTTGCGTAAACTTAAATTATAAGAAAACAAAAACAAATCACATGACATGAATCATATCAAAGCATCCCGTCTGTTATGCATCATCCCTACATCTTATACAATGCCCAAAAACTTACCTTAGGCGACTAAATGATGATGAGACATCCGATTTGTCAGCAAAATAATCAATTAATAAATTCAAAGCCAATAACATGCAGACGCATGCAAATAAATAACGTAACAGTGTTATTTTTTTACTGGTCATTGCCTTCCAAACGATGGTGGCAGCACACACGGAGATGCTGGGCTAATTTTCTGTCCGGTAGTTCACAAACACTTGTCAAGAGTATGAAATGAGAGTTTATATTGGCTTTGAACCACGGGAGCTGCACACAAATAACTGGAAGAGCACTTAAAAGGCTCCATAACTTATTTTTCTCCTGAAACACGAAACGGAGCCAACCCAAAGTAGCCTCAATTCCCCCGCGTTTTTTCTAAGCTTCCAAGCTTAGTTTCTTCAATTTTTATCAATTTATTACAATTATTTTGTTACACCCACACTGTTTAGAATATTTTTTTATATTTTTATTGTAAAATTACATTTTTTCGTATTTTTTTATTTTTACAGCACCGAGCTAGCTCTTATTAGATTACAGAGCTTCTAATTAGAAAAATCTTGACGCCGTAGAATAAGGAAACAATGAGCAAAGCAGGAATGCGTGACAAAGGTAAAAATCAAAACAAATACAAGGATTGCATTCAGGGATCTAAAGATCGAAAATTGCGCCAGCATAGCAGCTGTGATATTCACTGAATAAACGAAGGAACGAGTTGCTGTTGAATAATAAGTCGTTCCAGAAGGAACTAGTTCAAGGGTTTACTTTATTTCTTTTCTTCATAGTTTATGCCATGGTAGAAGAATACAGGTACAGCTTCTGGGACAAAAAAACAACAATTTTGAAATTTAAAAAAAAAATTGAATGAACAATTATTTAAATTGTTTTAATACTGTTGAAAAATACATGTCAAGAAAACCTCCGTCGTTGGCCTCATATAAGAAAACATATAAAAATCGACTTTTTTTTCAAAAAAAAAAAAAAACTTTTAACATTTTTGACATATCAATGTTCCCTAGCGTTGATGCATCTAACTGTATTCTTCTTACATGGTTTATGCCTAATTTATTAGAATCTCCCGGAGGATTTAATAAGATCAGTACAAAATTTGAGTGGTTTACACATTTTTTTTTCAAGGATTTAAATATTGGTCAGCTTATGTTTATTTATGTACACATCCAATTGGCAAATCTAATACGGAAAACAAATTATTTAAATTTCTTAACAAAACCTTCAAAATGAATTTCAATAGTTCAGTTTCGATTTTTTAACATCTCAAGAAAATTAAAAAAAAATTGAGTCACTAAACTCTTATTTATAATACTCAACATTTTTTTAAAAATCTTAAACAAATATTTTTTAGAATTTTACGCTAAATTAAAAATGTTGGGTATTTTTAACAAAACTCTTTTTTATTAGTGTATAATATTGTTGTACCTTTGCCTTATATGGTAATTTGACTTGACTTTAAAATCAATGAATAAGAAATGTTTCTAAAAAAATTCTTAAAAATTTTCTTTCAACACAAAAACTTTAAAAATGCTTTCTAACGGAAATAAAACATGTTTAAAATTAAATAAAATTTTAAATTTGAAAATAAAAAATTGAACTTTTAGTAATTTCTACATTTATTCTTTGAAAGAACATTAAAATTAAAATTCTGTAACCTATCAATAATCTTTAACACACTCGAGTTTAAAGTTTTACTTGTACTCTTTTTAAAAAAGCATAGCGTTAATTTTATTCAATGCATCTTTACTCAACGTCATATACGTTTTGAATTAAAAAAGGGGTGATTTATAAAACACAATAACATCAAATCTAGCCATATTTTTGTTTTAAATATTCTACTATGAAATTTGACTTGAATTTCTAAAATTAGAGTTATAGGAGACAATGTAGTTGTTGGATAGATTGATAAATTAAAAAAAAAAAAAAGAAATAATAACAACAACAATTGAAGGACACAATTCTCGGTTATCGTGGCAGTCTAACAGCTTCAATATCTTTAACTACAATTGATTTGTTGACATTATTGTGCAAGTAATCAATGCGTAGAATTTTTGCTTCACCAATACAGGGATCGTAAAAACCTGGCAGATCACTCTAAAAATAAAAAAGAAAAACAATTTTTATTTATATAGATTTCTTTTGAAACACACACACATCCTACCTTTGAGGAATTGTACAATTCTAAAACACCATCTTTGACCAAACACTGAACAGGAATCGTTACATCAATGGAAGCCTCCTTGATGAACTCGTTTTGATTATCTTCTTCTGTCTGACCATATGTTGCTTTGACAATTATCAAACCCTGGCGCTCGGTTTCTTCTTGTACAATTCGTTCATAGGTATGTTGCATTAAGTCCAATGCCGCCATGGCCTCTTGTCTTTTTTGATTCATACGCTGTTCATTGGTGCGTTTCGTTTTTTCGATTTCAATATTTTTACGCTCTGCCTGCATTGGTTCAATAATGGATTTCTTAACGAAAAACCAAACAATAATTGGTGTGACGGTGGCATAAAATACCGCAGCCGGGACAATTTCCTCACTTAAGTGGATGGGGAAAACATAGGTTTGTTGGGATCGAATGACTCTGTAATGAAATCCATATTTAATTAAAATATTTTTCCATACATATCTCACACTTACTTAAACTTCAGTATAACCCCGGTGGGCACACCAATGGACACAGCAGCCAACACTGAACTGTATTTGGAAATTTTCTTTTCGGCTCCATACTCGGCCATAAAGCCAAACGTACCCACTTTAGCTACGGCCTTTAACTTCAACTCATTCTCAATCATTTTATGGGTATAGGCAATGCTAAAGTAGATATGCGGCGATCCAATTACAAACGATGTTGACCACGCATAACGTTCAGTATTGCGATCAATTTGTGTAGTCATTGATGCCTGGCCGCCAGCATTTAAAGTCAAAGAGCCCAAGGTGTGTTTGTCCAGTTGCACGCCCAATGTTGTAAACAGGCCAGGTATGACACCATTGTCCCGGAAGTTGGTCGAGGCACCGGCATTTAATGTCACCAACGAGGATAAGGTACGCCCACCTTTAACACCCACCAACAAACCATTTCCTGCACCCACATCCAATTCCAACCACCCCTTATTCAACAAACGTCGACCACACACCACAAAGCCACCGGAACCATTGCCATTCGATGACATTAGATTACCGCTTAATGTCAAAGTGTCCCTCCTCGTAAGAGGAGCTTCTATAGACTGAGCTATACTCATGGAAGACACTTCAATACGTGGAAAATCACTTTCATCATAGGGTGAAAATATTTCCGTGGCATTAACATTTATGATAACATTGCCACGAGGATTGGTATTTTGCAAAAGCTTACGGGCTTCTGCAGCCTCGGCCAGCCTTTCATATTCTTCCCGAATCTCGGCCGGTGTTTTTTGCCGCTGCACCAGTTCCCAACCGTCTGTGCGCAAACCCTTCTCACCAACCGAATCATAAATAGCTCTCTTATGGGGATCGGAAAGTACTTCATAGGCCTTTTTGGTGCGATTAAACATTAACTCAGCCTTTTGTTTGTTTTCCGGTTCTGTGTGTTTGTCCGGATGATATAAACGTGACAACTTACGATAGGCATTGTTGATTTGTTCAGCTGAGGCCTATAGCCGGAAAAACAATAACAAGACACGCAACATAAAAAAGAAAATAAAAGAAAAAGTCCAAAGATGATGAAACCGTATCAAATGCTCTTGAAATAGTGGTGTACTCACCTCCTTGGGAACATTTAAATAACTATAGTAATTCTCCTCCAATTCATTATCGGAATCTATTTCATCGGACATTGTTAGCGCCTATATAATACACGATCAACTTTAATTTTGTTAATTTGGACTGTTTTTTTTTTTTTTTTTGGACTGTCAATCGAGCTCTCCTATGTTGAAGAGAGCGTTGGCGATCCTCAGGATACAAAAAGCCAGGTTGTACTCCAAATTAAGGTAAATTTGTAGAAAGTCACCTCAAGTCCAATAAGTTTATTTTTCAAAATGATTTGCCAAATTACTCCACTCCAAAGAATTTATTTTCCAAAATGGTTGGTCACTAGTGAAATCGATTACAATCCAATCAGCGTTTATCCCAACATGGATTGCAAAGTCCAGTCCAATGCTTTTATTTTCCAAAATGGTTGGCCACTCTTGAAAACGATTACAAACCAATGAGCGTTTGTTACAAAATGGATTGCCAATATAAATTTTCCGATTACTGCAAATACAGTATAAAAATGGTGTAAAAAGAAAACGATAGTACATAAGTACAAATGTCGAATTGTAGTTCAATTTTGTTTGCTTATTTGATATTGTAATATTAATATGAAAAGGTTTTTAACTCACGACACCTGGTTGAGAGGTAGTTTTACTTGCGTGACAGATGCAGGACACCACAGACGTAAAAAGACAAAATGTGCCCATTCAGCAGCTATGAAGTCCAAGCGATCAGGAATATCCCAATTGTGAGTCCAGTTGTGTTCCAAAGGTTAGAATACCTGTCTGCAAATTGCATAAGGAAAATAAAGGGCCAAAAGTGGGGAATGGGATGGGATAATATCAATTAGTCAACATCCATTAAAAATAAGAAAGAAAAAAAAAAGAAGGAAAAAAAAAAAACAAAACTTAAAACTAATATCACAGCTTTGTTTATCACAGGTGATAGAAAGAGTTCATAAACTGATTTTGGTTTCTTTCAGGAACATTAGGAGAAGGTTGTATAGGTTGTGGTCTTTGGATTGCAGTAAAGGGATTAGTCCATGGTATTTAGGGAACAGGAGGGGATGTTTTTTCCTTATGTTGTTGAATCTTACGCAATCAAAAATCAAGTGGTGAGCAGTTTCCAGCACTGCACATGTCTCGCACAAGTTCGAGTCTGCAGCTCCTATCCGGTGTAAATACTTTTTGTCACTGGTATGGCCGGTAATCAGTCTGTTTATTAGCTTAGTATTGCTAGGCTCAAAAATCATTTTTGAAAACCATGGCTTTTCATATATGTTGTTTATAATCTGAAAGAAGTGACTGCCTTTTGATTCGGATAGTCTTATAAATTCTTCATTCCAGTCATCTTTCACCAGATTTTCGATTCTGGAATACGCCTCTTCAGGTGTTAAAAATACATCTACAGGAGCACCAACTAGAGAGGCCTGTTTGGCTAGCAAGTCGACCTCCTCGTTGATTCTAATGCCTCTGTGCGCAGGGATCCAGACAATGTGACATTTTTCAATAGAGGATCTTTCCAAAATATTGTGACATTCAGCAACCAGATAATTTGTCGAATCAGCTGAATTTAAAGCCTTGCACGCTGTAAGGCTATCTGTGAAAATAACACATCTGTTATAACCGTCCTCAGTCGCAATTTCCAGAGCCTTTTTTATGGCAAAAAGTTCTCCAAACATTGACGAGGCCTTGAAGTCAATTTTGAAAAGGAATTTGAAGTCTTTTGTTGCATTGTAAACCCCGCATCCAGTGGACTCAATGTTTACCGAGGCATCTGTTGCAAAAATACAAAATTGATTACTTTTATAAAAAGACAGCTCGCAATAAAAGGCAGAGAAAATGACCTCATTAGGCGTAATGT